GAAGATGTTTTAGTAGCATCATCGCTTATTTACAATGAGAGGATGGTGAAGCATCTTCATCTTCTTCATCATTTACCAGAAATAATGATAAAGATATCAGTAAAGGATCTTCGTTTTCATTTACAAGCCTTAGTGTATGGATGTTAATAAAGCATCATCTTCTTTATCTTTTCCTGTAGCCTAGAGATGCATTTTTGTCTTCATTTACTAGCAATAATATAAAAATGCTAGCGAGACATCATCTTCACATATCAGCAACAGTGTTTAACTTCTTCCTTTATTACTAATACTCTTACTGTATAACTGTATAAAGTATAGTTTATTTTAAATTAAATCATTAAAAATCATGTGTTATAATACATAAAAATAGCATATATTGTACTTATTTTCTAGAAAGCTGTACATGAAGATGCTTTACTGAAATAAGAAACGAGAGATAATCAACTCTTTTGAAGTAAAATTAATTAAAGAAATGAAGAAAAAAGGTTGCTAGATATGATTATTTATTCATTGAGTGATGTTCAAGAGATGCAAATGATCAATAAAATTAAAATTTATTAATTTAATAATCCTCATTAACTAAAGAAATTCTACTTAGTATGAGGATGCTTGATTCCATCTCTTGAAAAGAACAGAAAATTTTACGAATGGTTTGCTCATTAATTATAATGATATATAATTAAGTATTTTTAACCAAAATAATTTCCGAATTGAGAGGAAAAAATATATATCTAACTTAATTATTATGCTCAATCATTAATTAAATGAAATTTAATTAAAGCAAGCTTAATTATGATGCTCAATCGATGATTATAATTTAGACAAAGGAATAAAATTATAAAAGAACAAAGCTCAATATTTACAAAAGTGCAGAATATAATAAAAAATATTAAAGAATCTACACTAGAAGTTACTTTGGAAGATGCTGTAAAAAGCATCTTCATCCTCATTTTCAATTACTGGCAATGATGTGACTATTTAATAATTAAAATGACAAAATATTATTAATTATATTTATTTTTGCTTAAAAATATATTAAAAATAATTAAATTATTAATTAATTAAAATTAAATCATTTTCACTGACAATAAAGATGCTGGGTAGCATCCTTATCCTCTTCATCACTCACTAACGATAATGTAAAACTATTGAATAAAAATTTAATTCTAATTATTAATCACTAATTTGGAGAACAAAATATATTTAATCATACTTATTTTAGTCAAAAATAATTAAAATAAAAGCATTTTTATTATCAATAACGATTCTAGTAGAGCATCATTATCTTCCTCTTCCATAACTAGCAATATCAAAGAAGCTAATTAAAATTAAGTTTTAAAAGTAAAAATTAATACTGTATTGCATTACTTGTTAGTTAGAGAAGTTAGACAAATGCAAGTTGCATTTAATTATATTTTATTTTTAATGTATATTTTATTAAAAGTATAAAGCATTATCAGCTTATCCGTTTCTACTTGGCAATGCAACTTTATAATTAGCTGTAATGTTTAAAAATTAGTAATAAATATTCCCAATAATTAGAAGAATTATTAAAATAGAATATTATATATATAAAGTTAAATAAGGAAAAAATGTATATAATAATAGATTTAATGGTTTACCTCGGTAATTAGGTGGAAAGCATGCAAATGAAAAATGCACTTCAGTAAGAAAAAAAGTACATATTTTCATTTTTAATGGTTTGCTACATGAAAATAAAAAGAAAAAATATATAAGAAAATGCATCAAACGTAACAAAGTATCCATTTACTAATGGAGTTTCGTTATACAATCACAAGAAGAAAAAGTAAAATAAAAATTCTTAATTACTTTAACATAGATTTTAAATAAATTTATTAGATAATTTCAAGTGTAAGTATGTTAATTTTTCAGTAAATTTCCCATCTTAATCATTAAAAAATAATAATAACAATAAAATAAATTATGAATGAGTCAACTCCATTTTCTTCCCTCCTTTTATTTTATTTTTTAACTTTCAGTACGACTTGATTATGTAAATATGGATCTTATGCATAATTTATAGGAGAATGACGTCAATCCAATTTCGGCAAACCGCAAAAATCTGTGTCCTTTTTTTTATTTTTTAAATTTGAAAATAAATAAAAAGAAGGGGGTTAAAATGGAGTATATGAAATTCTTCATCACACGTAAAATAAGATTATAATAATGAATCCATTTGTAAAACAGGATTAACCATCCCCTTCAAACACGTCGAGAAAAGTAAGAAAAGGGGTAGAACTAAGAGAAAAAAAATCACATTTTTCTGTAAATCCGACAAATTGGTTTGGACTAATGTACCAGAAAAAATCTGGAGAGAAAAAAAAATTAGAAAATATATATAGAGAAAGGAAGAAATAGATATAGAAATAAAAGCAAAGTCTAACTCACGAACATGCTACCTGACCTTCTTCTAAAGAAATCGTGAGTATACAGCATTAAAATTGGAAAAATCGACCCTTTTCCATTTCCAAAAACGTACGTGTTGGTTAAGAGATATGGATATAGACACGTACGAAGTGTGTGCAATTTCTTATAAGAAAGTGACAGGGATGGTTAGTCCTGATCATTTATGAAAGTTGCAATGCGTAAGATCTCTTCTACCTTAAATATCTCTTAATATAATAGCTGTTAAAGGTGTAAGGAAGAGTAACGTGTAAAGGTTTCGACACGTGTAAAGTGAATGCAGATAGCTTCGTAATTGTCGCCTGACATCGATGACAACGACAATGGATAAACATGTAGTGAAGAATAACCGTCTGAATGCTTTTGAATGGTCTCTATTTTGGTCTCCAACTAACGTGGATTACCGTTTGAGAAGCTAGTTCGTGCACATCCATCACCATTATCACAACATACGATTGGCGGTCGTGCCCCACTCGTCAATTTTGGGATCTAGTCGGACGTCATACTTATGCCCGGATTTCGAGTCATGTAAATATTGTCCCGCATACTTATGACCACAAAATAATCATTTTAAAATTTTGCTGATTCCGCAAACTCGCCCTCCCCCTTAAGATCAATCTTGTAGTGGTGTTAGTAATGGAAGTGGTCCAAAAATTCTTTCGTATTTACAACTCGACTAAGCCGGGTTTATGCTGTAAACTAGACACGAAATTGTAATTTACGAGTATGTTAATCTTTAACAATTGTATAAAAATTAAAATAGATTGGTTTATAAATAATTCTGTAATGCTAAAGGATAACTCTTTTATATACTAAGAAAACAATTTTACATAAACGTCGAAGGATTTTTTTTTTGATAGCCTTATAAAGAAAAGTGTGAAGATGCTAAGAACTGCTACGTTACCAAAATTCATTCGGTTGGAAACATTCTTTCTATATATATATTTTTTTTTTCCATTTGATGCATGCCATTTTGTATGGTACGTCCACTAGGAAAACGTACAAGGTCTTGAATTCCCAGTCGTTGAAGAAAAAGACATTTCTCTTTTACAATGTATCCTTCAGTAAAGATTACAGTTACGAGAGAACGGGCTTTTTTCTGTAAGAAAGAAGAACTTATGGCCAATTGTCAGAAGATATAAAGGGTTTGCTTTGAGAACAATTTCTTCAAACAACAAAATCGTGACCATGTGTATTGAAGAGGAAAAGGGGAGGGGGGAAAAGGAACTTTTTGTTGAAGATTTGACTAGCTGCTGCCACGTATATTACAGAAAACGTTCCGCGTTAGATGGCAGTTCATGATGAATGGTTTTAATCATCGCACCAAACTAGGATATCAACAGTACAAAACGGTAAATTCCTACTGGTTTTCAAAATTGTGCTTTTAATCAAGTTACCATTCGAATTTTGCCGTTTTTATTTACTTTATTTCCACTTTTAGAGCCCCCTCTTTTTCCAAGAAGAAATATTTCAAACTTCTTCCTCCACGTTCAATTGTTACTAGAGTAGTTTGCTATTGTATGCTGTTAAAATATAGCATTATAGTATTATTATTTTGTTATATATTTACTACACAACTATCTTATAAGCATTATACTATAATAATAAAATAATTAATGGTACTGTACATGTACCACGGGAGTAAGCAAGAAGGATTCGTTAGAAAGTCAGTGGTACAAGAGTGATTAAGGTTGAGAACCGCTGTTATTAAGCATTTAGGATATTAAAAAAATGCTAGAAGATAGATGTATTAGTGTAAAATCACAGATAAAGATACGTACTTTATTGTTATAGATGATACTAGAGTACAATCAGATATAAAATTACCCTTTTTACTATTATATAAGCGTAGTAACTACTATCATAGTAGCGTGTCAAAATATTATTAAAGTGGCATAATTAGTGATCATAATTCATTTTGAAAAATTACCATTTATAAGTATTATTTTATAAAAATTTAACTCTTTACCTTTAAAATTACTTTATTTTTTATTGTCTACATCTCATCTTTCTAGTTCCTTGCCAAGATGTTTTTAAACATGTCTTACAACCTTGCGAGAAAGAAGGGTTTAGTAAAATGAATAGAAGAATTTAAAAAAAAACACCACCTTCTCAATGTGCTTCACCTGCAACAAAAACATTCCAACCTCCTTCAGTTTTCATTCATTTTTTTCGTTAACAGTTCACAGATTCTTCTATAGAAACACAAGAGCACAACATACCTATCAAAGAGTAAAGAGTTAGCATTGTTAGTANCCATGTGTATTGAAGAGGAAAAGGGGAGGGGGGAAAAGGAACTTTTTGTTGAAGATTTGACTAGCTGCTGCCACGTATATTACAGAAAACGTTCCGCGTTAGATGGCAGTTCATGATGAATGGTTTTAATCATCGCACCAAACTAGGATATCAACAGTACAAAACGGTAAATTCCTACTGGTTTTCAAAATTGTGCTTTTAATCAAGTTACCATTCGAATTTTGCCGTTTTTATTTACTTTATTTCCACTTTTAGAGCCCCCTCTTTTTCCAAGAAGAAATATTTCAAACTTCTTCCTCCACGTTCAATTGTTACTAGAGTAGTTTGCTATTGTATGCTGTTAAAATATAGCATTATAGTATTATTATTTTGTTATATATTTACTACACAACTATCTTATAAGCATTATACTATAATAATAAAATAATTAGTGGTACTGTACATGTACCACGGGAGTAAGCAAGAAGGATTCGTTAGAAAGTCAGTGGTACAAGAGTGATTAAGGTTGAGAACCGCTGTTATTAAGCATTTAGGATATTAAAAAAATGCTAGAAGATAGATGTATTAGTGTAAAATCACAGATAAAGATACGTACTTTATTGTTATAGATGATACTAGAGTACAATCAGATATAAAATTACCCTTTTTACTATTATATAAGCGTAGTAACTACTATCATAGTAGCGTGTCAAAATATTATTAAAGTGGCATAATTAGTGATCATAATTCATTTTGAAAAATTACCATTTATAAGTATTATTTTATAAAAATTTAACTCTTTACCTTTAAAATTACTTTATTTTTTATTGTCTACATCTCATCTTTCTAGTTCCTTGCCAAGATGTTTTTAAACATGTCTTACAACCTTGCGAGAAAGAAGGGTTTAGTAAAATGAATAGAAGAATTTAAAAAAAAACACCACCTTCTCAATGTGCTTCACCTGCAACAAAAACATTCCAACCTCCTTCAGTTTTCATTCATTTTTTTCGTTAACAGTTCACAGATTCTTCTATAGAAACACAAGAGCACAACATACCTATCAAAGAGTAAAGAGTTAGCATTGTTAGTAATTTTTTTTTAATTAATTTTTTATATATAATTGAAGATTTCTAACGTTATAAAAGTTATATCAACTTGAAATTTCATTCCTAGACACAGCATTAAATATTTAAGAACATTATATGGTCGGGACATAATTATATGCTATTATCCTTATTTTTTTTTCTATACATTTTTAAATATTAAAGATGTAAATTTGACTAGAGAATCGTATTGAAGTAAAAATTCGTTAAATATCAAACTAGACTTGATACAAATTTAACAAGAAACATCTGAATTTTTTATTTTTATAATTAAATTTTTGCGTTTCTAGCTAATTCCGGATGTACTTCTTTACTTATTTAACAAATTTAAATAAATTATTAACTGTTTATAACTGTAAAAAAATGAAATTTTTAACAAGAAGCCTTAAAGGTAGATCTAATTTCCTGGCTTCTAAGCTTTCTGCTTCTCTAAATTGCACAAGTATTGCCTTAAAATTATTAAGTTAATTTGTTTAAAAAATTTTTAAATATTTACTGATAAAATTTTAGATTATTTATTTATTTTTTGACAGTCATTAAACATTTTTATTGATTGAAAACACTATAAAAATATATAAATTCTAAATTAAAGTTTTTATAAGTGTATATTTTTAAATAAATATTTTTATTAAATAATTTTTAAATGTCTATTTATAAGATGTAAAAAGCACTATAAAAATAATAAATGTTTTAAAAAATTTTATCTTTTTAACAACTGTAAGTAATAATATGAAAAATGTTTGTTGCATTATGAAAAAAAATCATTCAAATGTACTGTACCTGTACATTTATTTTTAATGTAATATGAACATTTTTAAACAAGTTTAATAAATCGTACTTTAAAAAATTTTTTAAGAGTGCAATGTAAATTTCAAAATACTCAAAATAAAAATGTACATTTCAAATTTCATAAATGTAAATGCCCCTTACAAAATTTGCATTGTTACGTTAAGAAATTATTATTTAACATATTTTTTATCGCATATAAATTTATATTTAAATAAAAATAATAAAAATTATTTGAAAAAAAATGTACATTTTAATAAAATTTAAAAAATATTTTATAAAAATTTGTGTATTATACAGTAATACTCTTATCAAAATCTGCCATAAAAAGATTTTCTTTTAATATATGTATATACTGTATATATACGTGAGTTATATGCAAAAATGATTTAATTTTTATAAAATTCAGAGTAATTTTTGGAGAAATTTATTCGGATGAAGTTCATAAAAGGAAAAAAAAAACTTATAAATTATAGGTAACAGAATTATGTAAAAATTAAGAGGTTTAGGAGGATAGATGAATAAGAATTCGTTGATTCATCTTACTCGCCTGAAGATATTTGATCAAAAATAGGAATTTTAAAAAGTTATAAATAAAAATAAGAATTTTAGAGAAGAATAACAAAAGGGAGATTACACGTTCGACTACGTAAAAGTATTTTTTATTTTATTTTATTTTTTAATTTAAAAGAAATCACAATAAATACTTCCTCAGAAACGATGCAGAATGAAGACATTCGTATAATCTATAACAGAATTCCCTTAAGAGATATATCTTTATCTTGTTAAAAGAATTTTAAAATTTAACTTTATATTCAGAAACATTAATCAAGTAAAGCATAACATTAAAAAAAATCAAAGTTTTATGATGCTTTACAACATCAAGTTTCTAAACATAAATGAAATTAAGGTCCTTACACTAGAGAAATAAAATTAAAGTATAAAAAAATGAAATAAAATCAATATCTTAGCTATAAACAAACAATTTTTGGAGAAGTACAGTACAGAAGATAAAGATATCTGCCATCGATTTACATGCAACCATTATAATATTTGCTTATGGAAATTGTGTTACGATAAGAAGAGAAAGTGGGTATGACTGGTAAAAGAGAAACTAACAAAAACCAGTATACCAATATTGTTGATGTTTGAACATCAACAATACGAATTTTTACGCATTTATTCGCTAAAATGATACATAAATGTACCGTAGAAAAGTATTGAAATATCGATTTTCTAATAAAGTTTTCAAAACCAATTTTATATTTTAGTTTAAACACAATAAAATTTATTCGTAAGTAAANAGAAGAATAACAAAAGGGAGATTACACGTTCGACTACGTAAAAGTATTTTTTATTTTATTTTATTTTTTAATTTAAAAGAAATCACAATAAATACTTCCTCAGAAACGATGCAGAATGAAGACATTCGTATAATCTATAACAGAATTCCCTTAAGAGATATATCTTTATCTTGTTAAAAGAATTTTAAAATTTAACTTTATATTCAGAAACATTAATCAAGTAAAGCATAACATTAAAAAAAATCAAAGTTTTATGATGCTTTACAACATCAAGTTTCTAAACATAAATGAAATTAAGGTCCTTACACTAGAGAAATAAAATTAAAGTATAAAAAAATGAAATAAAATCAATATCTTAGCTATAAACAAACAATTTTTGGAGAAGTACAGTACAGAAGATAAAGATATCTGCCATCGATTTACATGCAACCATTATAATATTTGCTTATGGAAATTGTGTTACGATAAGAAGAGAAAGTGGGTATGACTGGTAAAAGAGAAACTAACAAAAACCAGTATACCAATATTGTTGATGTTTGAACATCAACAATACGAATTTTTACGCATTTATTCGCTAAAATGATACATAAATGTACCGTAGAAAAGTATTGAAATATCGATTTTCTAATAAAGTTTTCAAAACCAATTTTATATTTTAGTTTAAACACAATAAAATTTATTCGTAAGTAAATTTTGTGATGTTTGTTATATCGAAATTAAATTCGATCAAATTTTATTAAATTTTAATATATTCAAATTAATTAAAATCGATTATTTCACTAGTGTCTGTAGTGGATTTTTCTCTTCTACACTTGAATTTTTTTTTAATAATTTCCTTCCTCTTTTATCTAATTTTCTTCTCTTTTTCTCTACATTCTCTAGGTATTCTTTCTGTATATATAATATCTTTCTTTTATCTAATATTTTTTTCCACCTATATGCTCTAGATATTCTCTTTCTATATATTATGTATCTCTGTTTCCCTGTATATATATAATCTATACACAATATATATATTAAATCTACAGTAAAATTTTGTAATATATGTATATATATATTTATATAATGATTAAAATTTTATAAATATATTTTACTAATTTTATAAGAAATGCTTTAAAATAATTATATAAAAAAGTTGAACTTACACGACATTTTTCTTTGTCCATATCTTAAAAAATTCTTCAAAAAATAGCCCACTTTAGAAATTACCTTATAAAAATTGCAGTATGTAACGTAATATTGTAAATGTCTAGACTAAAATTTGAAAAGAAAAAAGAAATATTTATATTATTTAAACACGCACAGAAACGTCACTTTTGTGGCATCTGTAACTAAGTTTAGTGAATGAATTTACTTAAAAAAAAGTAAAAGAAATCCTCCAAAAAAATAGAGTAGAGAAATCGATTGTCGATTTTTGTTTGCTAGAAATTGGTGAGAAGGTAAGCCAACAAGTGGACAGCAGGAACATTCACATAACTTATCTGTAAACGGTAGAAAATCGATCAAACCTCGCCTTCAATGAAAACCAAAAAAAAAAAAAAAAAGGAAAAAGGAAATTGTGCTAATTACTAGCCACGTTATCCATGAAAGAGACAGAAAAGGGGGTAGACAAACCAAATTTATCTACCCGTTAATTCATCAGAAGAGAGAGAAGAGAGAGACTTTGGGGTCTAGAACCGTAATTGTGATGAGTCATTACAAGCCCACCGTCTCCAATCATTAATATCCCCTACATGTGCAGATGACGTTGCAAACTAGTATGTGTAAGAGTGAATATGTGTGTGTGTCTGTGCAAAGCTTTTTTTCCCTCCTCACTATAATTTTTTACTCCTTTCTTTTCTACGAAACTTTGACAGTACGGATGAAATTAGTTATTAAGCTACTTTACAAATTCTCTTTCTTTCTTAAATACTTAAAAAAAATTGTCTGCTAACTAATTAAAATTATAAGCAGAGAACGGTAGATAAGTAAAAATGTTTTGCAACATCGTGTTAAAAAAAATTAACTAACAAGTAATAAAGAAAATGCAATGTTTTTTTTACTAGTTTGTTTACAAACAAAGTAATTTAATAATTTAACTAACGTCGTGAACATCTGTATTTGTTTCTTGCGTGATGACCCATCTGAAAACCTCGTGATAAACTATTGTTTAAATATTTGTTTAAACATTGAACAGTCTGTATCATCATTACATATTAATATATAATAACTGTAAATACCATTATCAATTATATTAATTATTAATAAAATTTCATTTATTAATTTATTTCTTTATTCCTTCATTTAATAAATAAATAATAAAAGAAAATTAATTTATAGAGCTCAACAAGTAATAATTTTAAAAAATGAAATAATAAAAATTAGCCTTTGATAAATTAAATCACTTCGAAATAAATATTTTAATCTTAATAAAACATATTTAATAATATTTTTATATAAAAATTAAACTCTAAAAATATTTATTTCGCAGTAACTTAATTATATTTAATTCATAAAATACAAAAATTTTATTTTATTTTATTTTTTTCATATGGATTTATTTCTGCGTACAATTTTCTAAATTAAATTAAATTATTAAANTAAATTTTCCTATAGGCTATATAAAATTTTATTTTGTTATTAGAATATTATCAAATAAATATTTATTTGATATTTAACTATACAAAATCAGCTTTTAGCTCTAAGTTATTAATTCGCAGATACGTTAAATGTTAATCAGATTAATAATTAGATTTTGGAAGATATTTTACGAACATGTTTATTAAATTAATAAACTTTTTAAAGTTATATAACAAATAAATAACAAAGAAAAAAATTGTAAGAAGAACGGAGAATGAATCCCATTCCATGATTTATATGAAATATGTCTTCGATGAAAAGTATCGATCTTTATGACATTCGTTTGATAGAAGTTAATTACTGAGCCACAAAACTCGAGATGAGAAAGCGTAGAGCGTATAAAATTTTGAAATATAACTATAAATATTGCTGAATTTGTGATAAGCTTAATATATAAAATGCGTTTACGAAGTTAGCTTTCTATAAAATGCAATTTTCATCGTTTGCTTGGCTAATATTTGCAAGATAATAGATTCTGACGAATGCATTAACTCTACAAAGTCATTGTTATTACTATTATATATTCTTGAATTTGTTTATTCGATCGATTTTTGTTTGTTCGAGTTTATCTTTACGTTTTGTTCGCATCCTTTCAGAATTCAATATATTTTAATGTTATTTTAATACTTAATAATTTCTAAATAAAATTTTTAAAAAATATATATAAAATTTGAAATTTTAAAAGTATTTTATTTTTAAATATAGGAAATAGAAACTTTTAGACATAATTTAAAAAAATAAAAAAACTTATAAATAAAATATGTAAACAGGAAAAATGTTTATAACCACTGACGCAATGCTTCTGGTAAACTTCAAATTTTACAGTTTAAAAATGTATTTTATAAAAAAAAACTTTTAATATATTTTTCAACGTTAAATTCGTAAATATATAATGTGAAATATTATATTTCATCTACAAAAATTTCCCTGTAAATAAAGGAAGAGAGAGAGAGAAAAATTTTAAAGAAAAATATATTTCCTTTTTTCTGTGTGTATATATAATTGTATGATTGAAAAATATTTTTAAAAATGTAAATGATGTTCAAGCAATTTATCTGAAAAGTATTTTACATTTTAAAATATTTTAAATCTTTCACTAATCAATAAACATTAAAAAGATAAATATAATAATATAAATTACATGATAAGGAATTTTATTATTAAAAAAAAATAAAAAATAAAATAAATTTGTAAAGTTAGAAAAATAGTTAAGGAATGTTCAAAGAAAAATTTGAAATAATTTTTAATATTTTATAAAATATTTAAATATATTTTTGCATGTTTAAAGTCGATTTTTATGTGATTTATTTAAATTATATCGGATTAAATAAAAGAATAATTGAATTTTTAAATTGTTTTTCAGGTTTTTTTCTGTATTTGCTATGACTAGAAATGGCAAAAAAATGGAAATAAAAATCGAAAATAATCAGTTTTAAAGGCGAAGCAATAAAGCTACTAAACGTGTTCAGTATGAATTTCTCCACCCCTTTTATGTAGACTAAATCTATAGAGAATAAATTCATTATAATCGATGGTCAGAAACACCTTCTCTTCCTCGCCTTTATAAGGAAATTTAATACTTCTGTCGATAAGTGATGTGAGTGGTTGATGGGGCTACTAACACCAATCGATGTCTATTCGGTAGTTACCATGGAAACGGCCTAGGTCCGTAAACATCCCAAAGATGGGTTGTCAATCCGGCACAGCTCAATCTTAATAAAGGATTTTTAATTTAGTTTGGTTAGGTATGCTGATTTTTTTACTGTGTGTGCTTAACACGTTACTGTGAGCGCAGTGATTATAAAATCGAGCATACTCCGTAGCTTTTTGGTAAATTATGCAAAACATACACATTTTTCAAGTATAAAATTTCACGAAAATCATTATAGAAATTGATTTAAAAATAAATTAATTCGTAATTAATGACACCAATGAAGAGCTATTAACATATAACGATGCTAAAAATCGACAGAGAAAAATTAATTGCTGAAAGAAATGAATATAATTGATTTTTAGAGTGTAATTATAAGAATTAATTGTTGAAAATAAATAATTTTGAAGGCACTTTATAAAAATAATCATTTGCATAAGTTAGGTTCAAAATCGAATATGCGTATTAACTTGATTATTAAATAGACACTTTAATTCCTAAAATATTTTCTTAAATTCCCCACCAATTAACTGAAAATAGATATATTTATGACAAATTAAATAAGATAATATGTCTCAATAACATTTTAAATTATGTTAAATCATCTAGAAATCATTATTTCTGGCACACCTGCTAGATATACCTATCCATTCAGGTGAAAAATCTGTAAATGTCTACCTAAAAGACAACTTAACCTCTTGATAAGATAGATGGTAACGAAGGATTAAGGATAATTACCCTTTACTCATTTATCTAACAAGAAAGAGCGTTAAATAATCCCATTCCAATCCAGATAAAGGTAATAGTTAATTTTATTGGGGAGGAAAGAAATCGTACCTGTTAATGTCTAGATAATCTCGAAAGATAGAGGTAATTTTGGAGCGTGCGGGTTTGTATACAACAGACGTCGTTAACTCATATGTCATATTTGAGCAATTCCTAAATTAAACAAGTGAACACATTGTACTTAGTCACACGACCTACCCCCAGGTAGGCAATCACGACTAAATAAATGAATGTGTATCGAAATGCCCCACAAGTAGATTGTCCTGGGGCTAAGAAACTTAATCTCCATTTGTAAAAATTTTTTTCTTTTTTAAACTCTCGGTTTAAGCTAAGATTTTGACATTAAAATCGATATATAAACTTGCAAAATTAATTAGTTCATTATATATTTAAGAAAATATTTTTAATTATTTACGAGCTAATTTTCCACATGAGTCATACCAGACGTCAAAACTGTTGATTTGTTAAAATATATAGTAATTCATTTACTCTAATCCGATTTCGATTATCAAGTTAAAAATAATAACTGAATTATTATTTTTTATTATTATTAAATTTAAACCATATATAATTATAATTTTAAAAAAAACTAAATTTATTTTGTTAGATACTGAAATTACATTTGTTTAAAATTTAATTTTGATTACGTTGCTTGTAACATTGTTTACATTTATACTAATTATTAATCAGTTTCATTAATTAAATCAGTTTCATGTAATAATTACATTTAAAAGAAAACAAATCAGTTTCAGCACATGTTTTAATTCATTTTTTATAACAATTAAATTTTTTCGTCAGTTTCATTCATTGTAGCAAATGCTGTAATCGATTAAAATTAAATACTTAATTACAATTAAATTTTCCCTCTATTTCATTAAACACAATAACAGCTGTAATTGATTAGAATTAAACAAAAATAATTGCAATTAAATACTAAATTACAATTAATTTTTTGCGCTAATTTTATTTTATTTTTTGCGCTAATTCGTAATAATTGTAATTACTTAAATGTAAACAAAATGAATTTTTTAAAATCAATTTTAAAAGCTTCAATTTTATTAAATTAAAGTATAATAAAATAACATTTTTTAATACAGAAAAAGAAATATTTTAAAATATTTTAAGTACAAACTGTTACATATATATATACTTTTTTATTTTTATTTTTACTTTATATATATATAAAGTAAAAATAAAAAGAAAAAAGTAGAATAACAAACGATCGTTAACTCGTAGCAAAACGTCTGTAACATTAATAAACATTCAAGAACACATCTCGTGAACTTTATTATAAAATTCCATTAAATTTTACCGTTAATGCCGTCGTATATAATTAACTAATTACTATAAATTAATTAAAAATTAAAAACAAATACCGCATAACTAACCATTTTATCATAATTTTACTTTATCTGTTTTTATCTTCAGCTTTCTTTCCTACTTGGTTTCATACATTTTACCTCATCAGCAGCTAAAAATAATTATTTTACTAAATAAATATCAATTTTTAAAACTTAATCATTACCATATTCATATTTACAACTTTGAAATGAGATTCAATTTGTAATTTTAATGAGGAACGAGACTTTATCCAACACAAAGCTATGCCATTTCTTATTTAAACCATTATAATTCATTAAATTTGTAAATTAAATGAAGTACTTTATGTTATTTGTATATATTAGAGGCATTTATAAATGTTTGCCCCTTCTAGACGTGGAAAAAATCTAAGAATTATTCTTTTTTTTCTTTTAAATTGATTATTTAAAATATTTCTTTTACGTTTTAACATTTTGACATTTAGTAAAAATATTTTTACCAGGGGAAAAAAATTGAATTTTTCTTACATTTGGCTAACAAAATCTGATTTCCAACTTTCAAGTGCATTAATACTAGCTGACATGCCAACAGAAATTCTAGTAGGCATAAGTTTTGTTCGATATTTTTTGAAAAAATAAATAAAATAAAAAAATATTCTACAGTTTTTTTATATTCCATTTTTTTAAAGAATGAAGAAAATAGAAGTGAAACAAATTTGAATTTTTAGTGTATTTTTTTAATATTATTTTTAACGAATCTCAATTGCCTCATATTCACGCAAATGTTCATTATTTGGGTGTGGTTGGTATCTTTACATAATATTCCTCGAATGAATTTTGAATTCGTTTATTATTTAGTAATTTAAAAGTTGACATAAACCCTGTAAAAATCGATAACTGTATGTTAGAAGGCTGTGGTTGCAGTCGGAGAATTTAGTCTCGGATTTCCACTTATGCACTCGCCTGAAACGACTGAAGTGAGAGCAAGAGAGCAAGGGAGAGAGAGTGAGAAAGCATCCTGCAATTTGTCTGATTTAACGACGATGTCTAGATAAGATCTATTAGTGTGTAGAAGCATCAGCAGTCGTACACCTGCTTAAATCCGTGATTTGCAATGACCCTTGTGGCAAAACAATGCACTCGACTGCAATCTCTGTACTATTAATTTGTAGGCCATTGCTTAAAAATCAACACTCCAGTTTAAGGTTAAAAAAACGTATTAAAAAACTATATATATAACAAGTTCTCTTCCTGTTTATCATTTGCACAACCGTTCATAAAAAAGAAAAACATTTTAATTTAATTTTTTTAAGTAAATTTTCTTATTTTATATTAAAGTAATGCATCTTTTTGCAGCTTTTCTATGATACAAACTTCTAAAATTAAATTCTAAAACAGAAAAAACATTAATATATTATGTAACTCATTGTAATTCTTCTTCTACACAAGTTATATATATATATTTTTTTAACAATCACAATTTAATAATTTTGAAGCTGCAACTTTTATATATCCAGTCGTTTTGCCTTTCCAACAAGAGTTTACCTCGTAACAGATGTGTTTAAACAGTCAGGGTAGCTTAAAAAAAGGAATTCATCAAGGTAGAAATCAGTATGTGTATGTCTACGTATGTGTTCTATGCTGTAAGACGGAAGTTGTGCCGCTCAGGCGCCATTATTTTACGATCTGTTGTAGACATCAGCCGGTGAATCAACGAGAAAGAGATGAGAGTGAGGAGACAGTGAGATGAACAAGCACCGGCTGTAACACATAACGATGGACACATTACATACAGTACAAGTCTGCATGCGTACAATTCGCGGGAGATTTTTCCAAACGACAATTTTAAGGTTCAGAGGTCCTTGCTGTATTCTAATCCACTATAAAACTCGTCTGATCGACCCGATACTTTACTTTTCTGCTTATGTATGTTAGGGTATTGCTTTCCGATTTTTCAGCTTTCCTAGATTTTTGTTCTTTTAAGAGCTTCTCTATAATTGTCGTATGTTCCCTAGAGAATTGAGTGACTGTACTTCGTAACCTATTATATTCCTTCACTTGTTGGAGTGGCTTCCACGATATTGATTCTTGATAGATTGTTGTTGAAACATCTTTTTCGACACTCTTCGTCTGGGAAAACGAATGAAGATGCCTTCCCTTATGTTATTCCCTTATGTTATAGTAGAATTTGGGGGTTAGTATCAATCTGTGGTAGCATTTTCATACTTAAAAATGAACAACAAGGTTTTTTTTCACCTCTTTCCTAGTTGAATTAGATTTATAAATAAAAATGGATCAGTCCTTGACAAGTTGGACAAGTTAGTCAACAAACGTTTCTTAATTCAATTGTGTTTCCCACTCGACACTTTCCAGTTGTGAAAATAGAAAAGAAAGAAATTAAAGTAAATAAATAATGTCTGTAAAAAGTTATAACTCAATTTTGAAGACGTTTCATCCTTGGTAATTAGAATTAATTACCTTTGTTCTGTGCCAAGATTGGCTTATACTCGTCTTCAATAACAATAACAGTACTTTTAAAAATAACGAGACGTGCTCCTTAAGTAACGTAAAAATATTTATTAATAAAAGAAAGAGGTGTAATAATAATTTAAGCGAGTAATCCAAATTACACCTCACTCGACTAGCTTTCATAAAGGGTTAAAACCAGTAGCAAAGAGTAGATAAGGAAACATTTTGCTGTAGCACTTTGAAAAATTAGGCCAACCACATCGGTTATCTACAAGTAAACTGCCTGAGGGACTACTGAACTCGTTATTAGTGCACTAGTAATTAACGATACCATTAGACAACCCTTTAAAAAACCATTTTCTCAAAGTATCATAGGGAAATTCTTTCGATAATGTTGACTTAACTTCTCCCCTATGATTGCTATACAATGCATTGTCAGGGTGATAAGAATCGTTAATTCCTGATTGCATTTTTTATCTCCATTCATTCAAGGTTCGTAAAGTGGCCATAAGTTATCCAATAAAATATGATTAAAATTTATATTTACTACTTAAAAATCTTGATTAACCTAATAAAAATTTAAAGATGTTTCAACGGGGGTTATAAAAATTAAAAATTATAAAAATTCTCAGCTAGGAATTACGTTATTAAATGCTCGTACATCAGCTCATTTTTTTCGATAGAAATAGAAGTTGTAAGAGGATAGACGTCTTTACAACGTACAATATCAGAAAATATTAAAGAAAAATTATAAATTAAACGTGCATTAAACTGCCAAAATTACTTTTCGCCACTATAATAACACCCAAACTGATGAATGGCAATAAAAATCGATCAAGCGTAATCTACAAAAATCCTGGATTTTCCTTTTTTCTCCCTTTTACTTTTCATCTAAAGAATCTGGGATGTTCAGTGTATATCTATATTATTTTTAATGTCTCTGTGACACTCGAAATTGGAAAGTTGGTCAAATCTCTATCTAAACAAGCATGGCATATTCGAAATGAAGTAGAAGAAGATCCTGGAACTAGGTTTTAACTTTAATGTCTTTCAGTCGATTCTACGAGAAGCATCGTAAATAGATGAAAGTAAAAGTAGGGGAAGAAGGGGAGGAATAAAAAAAAGAAAGAAGAATCCAACATCGTAAAGTCTTCTTTTAAATTGTTGAGACAATTACGAAACGGAGGACAGTCAGCATTTTAATGGGTTAATAAATGAGACTGGACGTACTGTTAGAAGATGAGAGATAAGAATGATGCTCTTTCTACAGTATCATTGAGAAAATCCAGTTTTCTATCGTGAAATCTAACAACTTTTGAATAAAGTATTTTATTTTTTTGCATAATTTTTTTCTTATTATAAACTTTTAAAATTACTTTCTCATAATTGATAAATAATGAAGAAGAAGGAAAAAATTTATAAAACCATGATGCTGGAGAAGATTAAATGACGCTGTTATCGGTTTCGAGGAATGGAAACTTTAAATAGTTTATTAATGTAGTATAAACTAATTATAAAAACCTTATTAAAATATTTAATTTGAGATACTTTTTAATATTTTCTTTCTAAAATTTTAACATTATAAATTAAATATTTGCTCAGATGTATGCAGTAATTAAGATATTGTATAGTAGTTTTATTTAATTTCAGTTTATACTATGTTTTACAGATTTAAATAAATTTAGTTTTTTTAATTGTAATTAATCCATTTTTTAGTTACAGTTAATTAGTTTTTACATCGATTTTAAAATATATTTTTCTGTTGTAATTAATTAATCTACTTTTATTTCTATTCAATTTTAATAAATCTATTTCAAATTATATTTTGTTTCTTTTAATGAAAATTACATAAAATCGTAATTAATCTGTTTCAAATTATCACACGTTTCTCTTAAACATAATTAATCTGTTTCTTGTAATAGTAATTAATTCGTTTCAAATTGTCATTCGTTTCTCTTAAACGTAATTAATCTGTTTCAAGTTATGTGATCTATATTTTAATCGCAATTATTCTGTTTTAAGTTACATTCAGTTTCTTTTAAGTATAATTAATTAATTTCAAATTGCAACGTCAATGTTAATTATCATTGAGCTGTTTGAAATTGTAACGTGCTACTTTTAGCCATAATTAATAAATTTTACAATACATTTTCTTTACTAATTGTAATTAATATTTCACTTAAATAAATAATTAATTTATCAACAAACATCGAAATTAAAAATTGATTAAGTGACAGAATTGTCACGTATATAATGTACTCAAGTATAATTAAGAAAATTAGAATATAAAATTTAAAAAAAATTAAATAAATTGGAAAATAAAATCGTAAATAACCAGGAAGAAAATGCATTAAGATTAAGTAAACCAAAGCCAAAAATCTTGAACTAACAAAGAAAACAATAAATCTACGAATTAAAATTCAATTAATGAGGATGAAAGATTATAAACTCACTAATTCATCACTGAATTCGGAGTATGCGAATTTAATTTATAAATAAAAGTAATTATTTGCAACAGGAGGAGGAGGTAATCTTTGAAGTTGTAAGGAAGAAAGCTAGCTGAGAGATAAATAATTTAAGTTACTAATTAGAAAAGGTGAGTGTGAAAAGATTAATGGAGAGATCTGGTGGTCTCTAGCCATATCACTGGGATGCACTTGATTACTTCTAGAAATCCCAATTTTTATTTTTAGATAAATTTTCTAATTCTCTAGTTTATTCCTAATAGTTAATTAAGTATCAACATATAGATAAGTTGTGTCTAAAACTGATTTTTCTATGGTACATCTTCGATTTTAATTAAGTTTCGCTTTGTAAAGGGTGTTTTTCATACGAACAAATTACATTTGAAAGATGATTTTTCTTTGAACTTTAAGCTTTATTATTTGTCTATATTTTTTTATTCATTCTTTTTCAATATTCTTATTAATTCTAGTTTGATAATTCTTTAGCACCTTTAAATGTTAGGTTAACAATTTCCTTCGAGATTGTCAATTGCTCTTATTCATTCTTTATCATCTTTCTGTGATTTTTATTCTTCATTTTTCCGTCATTTGATGTTTTTTGTTGCTCCTCAGCTCTTTCAATCGTTGTGTTTTATCGCTGCAGCATTTTGATTTATCTGTTTTATCATTCTGTGTCTTCATC